TAAATCGATTACTGTGGATTAATTTATTTTCGTGGGTATCAATTTTCGTAGATTGCTGAAAACTTGCATATTCGTGGATATTTGATTTCGTGGTTTTTCCAATCTCTGTATTCAAAGCATATTCAAAATATGTTATTCGTTGAACATTTGAATTCGTGGTTCACCTGTACCCACGAAACCCACGAAAATTGGTATCCAACGAATATTAATAAATCCACAGTAAGCGAAAACAAATCCGGGTCACAAATCAAAACCGAGTGAAACACATCAACTATAAGAGGAAACCAACAGAACAACAGAAACACTGAACTGCTACAAAAACAAACGCCAACATACATAGACACAGACTATTTGATAACAACTGTCATATTCTTGACTTGGTAAAGGACATTTTAAGAAAACATGATGGGTTTAACCAGGTGTTATGGCTAGCCACACAAAAAGCACTGTACTAAGTACTCCTTTTCGAGAAGATAGAGACAATTTCTGAATAAGGGAACTTGGAACTGCAATGCCATATGGTTGCAATGACAGAGGAGTTGGAAATTTGTCAAGTCCAGCCTGCAGTGATGTTAATGTAATAAGTTTATCTAATACTACCCGACGACAACAACGTAGTCATGGGCAAAAACGTTACCATCGGCCTAATGTTAAAAAAAGTCTTCCAAATCTAGATCGCCCTCTGGGATCTTTGATGACCTTCTTTCACATATTTATCATCCGCTAGGGTTACATTACATTAGAACTTTTCTGTTTTTACTGCCTGTTAATTTTCTAAAATGTTCGAGAGATTTTGCACTTGAAAAAGGATGCATAAATACATTTTCCCCAATATACAGACTTGTCAGTTTAATTTGTGATGTAGCTCTTTTTCCATCTTTTTAAACCATTAATACCGGAACCTTTACATGAGGAAAAGAGGAAAAGAGGAAATTGTTCACTTTACCAATAGAGGAATTGATGCAATCAACAACATCTGCAACGTTCTACCTTTCAAGGAGGTAACATCTAAAATGTCTATTTATTTTAAAAATCAGTCTGTTCCTATTGTATCCTACAGTTACACCAAAACCATTGCACCCAAAGTATTTAAATATAAACAAGCATTGCAGGACCTTGATTTAGAACAATACTTAAAAAAAAACTCTGACATATGACTGTTCCCACTCGCCTTATAATTACAGCCCCTCTGGCCAATGTTATTACTGGGGATCTAAATATAATTCAACATGAAAATCTCTGAAAGGTGATTTTTCATGGTCCTAATTAGTTTAGAGAACCCCAACATATCAATTGGAACCATAACTTCAAAATAATTATGGATTCCATTGAGGACTTCACCCGAGTATGGGCTAAACGAGAACACGTTGAACTGGACACTTTGTCAGAATGGGTCAAAACAATCAGGTATTTGATAAAACGTCGCATTCATAAGTTCAAAAACTGTGTGACTGATCGACCAAAGTCCGTTTTCAGAGTCATTAGCTGGGTAATGTATATCATCTCTTCATGATAAGTATGTTGTTGTTCATGCGGACAAAGCTTCAAATATTATTGTCTTTGTAACTATGTAATTCGTAATACAACAATTTGTTGAAAAATTCTACCTCCAAATTCAACAAATATGTTGTCGATAAGAAACTCTAGCATACTGATCACTTGTTCCTCTCTGTAGCATGTTTTACCATTTTGTTCACTATTAACAAAAAATGCCTTATGGTATCCCAAAGTAATACATTTATAGCGTGTGCTACCATTTTAAGGTTGAAAAGCATTGTGGATTATTTCTTTTAGATGATTTTTCAATTGCACATAGTGGTATACAAGGTTGAAAAATTTAAAGTTTTCATAAAACTTATTTCGGAAGAAGACCGAGATTTAAAATTATCCAGAAGTTCTTTGGAATTTTGAAGAATCCACATATGGTTAATACCACTACTCAAGTAAACAGTTTCACAGTATTTCTGAAGAACCTCTTCCACTGCGGACAGAATTTTAGTCAATCTAATATACAATTCTTTAGTGGAACATGCAGATGAAGCTTAGGTATCCAATACAATCAGGGTAAGTCCTCTGATTTGATGTTCAATGCAATGTTCATTGAAGCCATGCAGGACTTATGATTTGTCAAAATCTAATCCTTGTCAAATGATATGTCTTTGTATGTTGGATTACCTGAGTGCTCATTTATTCCTAATTCTTTTACAAGACATTCGTAGTAATACGAATTACATAGTTACAAAGACAATATTTTTTAAGGCTTTGTCCGCATGAACAAAAACATAGTTATCATGAAGAGATGATAGACATTACCCAGTCTATGGGAACGAACTTTGCGCCTCTTCTTGCCGACCTCTCCTTATGTTCATATGAATCGGAGTTCCTTCAGACACTTGTCAAAAACAAGGAGATCAAAGAATCCAGGTTATTTAATTTCACTTTCAGGTATATTGGTGGTGTTCTTTCCATTAGCAATCCGAACTTTTCTGATTATGTTCCATTAATATATTCCCCAGAACAAGAAATTAAAGAAACAACAGACACGGCTTCCTCTGCCTCATTTTTAGACTTACACAGTCATCTCAGTACCAGAATCTATGACAAACGAGACGATTTTAATTTTGAAATTATCAATTTCCCCCACCTTAGTACATGTAGTAGAAATATACTAACTTTACCTGCATATGGGATATACATTTCCCAACCTTTTTGGTATTCAAGAGCTGGCAGCTCCTACTCAGACTTTGTAAAACGTCACCAGTGTCTGAGCAGAAAGTTGATGAACCAGGAGTAGGTCAAAGAATGTCTCGTCCTTTTGTAAATAAAGTTCATAGGGAGGTACCAAGACCTTGTTGATAAACATTCTGTATCAACCTCACAAATGATAAACGATGGTCTCGAAGTATAGATTATGCGTACTGATGTTGTTTATCATCTTAATAACGTGTTATACTATTCTTTTCTTTTTTGTCTTAATTGATATTACTTTTACTGTTTGGTCTGTTTTAGGTGATATCCATTTGACGTGGCTCTGTACTCATTGTGTTGTTTGTAGTATCTTTCATTTTAGCTTATCTGCTTTGTCCGTGTAACTTTTAGTGTTTCCCTGATACATATGACGTAGCTCTGTACTTAAACATCCCGCCATTGTGTTATTGTTCTATTATAATTTTTGTAGTCTTGCCTTTCATATTTGCTAATGCTTTGTCTATATGCCCTTTTGTGTTACTTTGAAACATAATGACGTGGCTCTTTTTTAGAAGAAATACACAATAAACATATAGACAACCGGCAAGAAGGACAAGGTAAACCTCTTATTTTCATTCTGCAGAGGATATGCCTAATAGAACTAAAGACTATATTATTTTCATACTTTGAACGACAAAATTATTTTATATCTCTACCTGTGTGACGTTTACAATCTGACGTCAAACGCGCGATTCTACGTCAGAGTTAAAGTTAATCTAACCATTCGGTCCCAGTACTGAAAATCTTTCAATCCTTAATGGGTGGATTTAACAAATATAAATAATATACACAAATAAGAAAGCAATGAATGAGGTTGTTAAATTTGTCTTTTTGTGCTTCTTTATTAAATATTTGTTTGCTTTTATTGTGAATAAGATTATAACACAATGTTGACTGCTGTACCCCTAATTTTGACATTTTTACCTATTATGTCTGTTTGTTTTGTTCACGCATCGTTGTCAATATAATGGAATTTTATGCGACTGTCATACACGTGAGAGGTTCAGCTAATTATAAAACCAGGTTCAATCAACAATTTTCTACATAAGAAAATGCCTGTACCAAGTCTGGAATATCCATTCGTTTGATGTGTTTGAGCTTTTCATTTTGCCATTTAATTAGAGACTTTCCGTTTTGAATGTTCCTCGTAGTTCAGTATTTTTGTTATTTTACTTTTCATATGGCAATGTTAAAAAATACCGTTAAAATGACAACATTAAATAACAGGAATAAACACAAGAACACTCAGGACAGAGAAATAAATAAACAAATAATATATATTGCCACATTTTGCTGTTCCTAATCCTTCTTAGTTATACCCTTATGATCAAACTTTTAAAATTTAACAGACTTCATAACCATAGCCTAAGGGTGGTTACAATACCATGTGGCTCATGTTATTAACATATCTACCCTCAATACTATATATGCCTATATGTACATTGCACTTATCTTATAGTATATTAATAGTTGCACTGGATCAATATGCTTTCTATTTCTTTTTGAAGTTTTGTAACAACAATAAACGTGTGCCATCTTTCAATCATTGCAACTCGAAGTAAATGCAATATTTTTTAAAATAATTACAGTCTTCACTTGCATTGACTTTAGCTAGGCAAGTAATACCTGATAAGGTTGAATGATTCCTGTTCAGAAGATATGTTCTATTATTAAAGGACAGTTTTCGAAAAGAAATTATCACATGTTGCGGAGGCAATCTTTTTTTTAACTGGTTCGATGTCATAGCACGAAATACATCGTTTTAACCATTCAAACATATAGTAAAGAACACATTATGATGTTGCTTTCTTGAGTAAGACCTCACAACTGATGAAACAGTTGTATCGATCGGTTAGAAAGGCTGAGTTTTGCTGTGTGTTTGTTCATTCTACATTGGCTAGAGGTAAATGTATAGGGTGAGGATTGAGATCTCACAAAACATATTTAAACACCGCATTTGTGCACCTGTCCAAAATCAGGAGCCTCTGGTCTTGTAATTTTTTTTTAATTTAAGTTCACTTATATGTTTTGGTGTTTAGTATGACGTTCATTTTCACTGACCTAGTACTCATTTTTATTTAGGGGCCAGCTAAAGCCCGCATCCGGGTGCGGGAATTTCTCGCTGTGTTAAAGACCCATGTATGGCCTTCGGCTGTTTTCTGCTCTTTGGTCGGGTTGTTGTCTCTTTGACACATTTCACATTTCCATTCTCAATTTTCACATTAGCCCAATTTCTAACTAAAACGACATACCTGTTTTTAACATCAAATCTTAACACCCAAGGAGAACTAAGAGTTAACAACACTGTCATATTGCTTCCGTCTAGATTGCATCTTGAGAGTCTGTGTGTACGAGCATCAGTCCAGTAGATATGTTCATTGATTGAATCAACAGCTATTCCTGTTGGAAGTGACAATGACTGGATAACCGTCTGTAATGTTATGTTCTTTGAGGGATATGCAAATCTATATGAATCATAAAAAGTTATTGACATAATTTAGGTTCATTAACTGTACTGATCTTGTTTGTTATACTAAAAAATCTCTACTGTCTTATTCATATTACACACACTCTATTTTGAATCTGTTACATCATGATAGTGGCGTAGTGTAAAACACAGACAATGATGAATCGATGTTTTTTTTTTTCAAACAGACACTTTGAGATAGTGCCACTAATTTGACCGATAATTTAGACATATATATTTCAACATATTAACTAACGCTGCACATCATAGACAAGAACATTTTCAGTACTAATCATCATTATTATTAGGTATTTTCACTTCTCTATGGAAAGACCAATTGTATTTGTTCTGAAAATTATTATTATTATTAGGGTCGTTCCACTTTCTGTGGAAAGGCCTATTGTATTTGTTCTGATTATCATTAAGTCTTTCCACGTTTCCTATTGATTTTGTTCTGATTATATTTTTTTTTCTTCCGCCTAATTTATTTTCTTTCGCTGTTTGGTTGTTTCACAAGATGTCGATTTGATATTTGGCATATGATATCGAACAGTTAATGCGCTTTCAAAAACTGATACCGCTTAACCGAATACTTTTCTTTGTAAGAGTTATCTCACCTAACACTGTTTTTCTTGTGTTTGCTTCTCATTCACAACTGTTAAAGATAACGACAAAATTGTTTAACCAATTTGCTCGTTATATCCTCAGGATGTTGAGATTGGATTGTACCAAAGCGTTACGGAGACTCCATATGAGAGTTATTTCCCCTTATGCATTGGATATAAGTGATATGCATTTATAACTGGTAAACCACAATTGAAAGAGATCTGGGGTCTATTAATGTTAGGTCCTTAGTAAAAAAAAAGAAAATTAGGTCAATGTCAAAGGTCAAGGTCACATTCTAAATTTTGATTTTGGCTTATTTGCACTTTTTTTTCATAAACCGTTAAAGATAACGACAACATATATTTACTAAATTGTTAGTTGCGACATGTCGTAAAACATAAATTTTAGTTGAAAGTGTACGTTGACATATGAAGGCAGTTTTCTCCCCTTGTATATGCAAAATAATGTGTATGGTGATATAATTCGTTAACCATATCAAATACAGACGTAAGATATTTTGATTTGAGGTCCTTGGTTTATGACCTTGAAATTGAGGTCAAGGTCTAAGTTGAATTTGACGTTCTAGATTTTGACCTTTGTCTTTACTACATATTTTTACGTGCTTAAGCCATATGGTGCTATAAACAGTTTCGTATACAAAACTAGTGGTTATTCCCCGACTAAAAATAACCATGGCGGGAAATCCCTTTTTTTTACTTAATTGGTAAAAAAGTATCATGTTTTTTGTATTTGATTGTAAAAAGTAGTTAATTAGCTTTCAATTAAAACAGGTTATATGATTAAAATGATTTTAAAAATTATATTAAATATACATGTTTTGAGGGGAGACAACAATGTGAACATCCTGTTTTTTTGGCAGTGAACATTGAAAACTTATTTGCAGCCACTGTAGCTCTTTTCGAAGCAGGAAACCGTACCCTGATGCGATATTTTTTTGAAAGGCCAGGTAAAATCCTATAAACTTCATACAGTTTTGATTATGTGAAATGTGCTTGTATCATGTCTACATGGGTATGCACATGAAATGATTTCAGTTTTTTTTTATGTTCAGATTAGGCAATTTTTTCCCTATGTTCTCTGAAAAGAATTGTGTTATTATATTAAAAGTACACTTTATTTTTATTTTATTATAAACTAGAGAAAATTCTGATTCCAGTCATATCTAGTTTTATACAAGTATCTTTATTAACCATTCCACCACTAAGGGTCACTTATGCATGGTCCCTCGAAATATGACATCATAGAAAAAAAAACTGTTGATTGCACCCTCAAAGGGACACACATATAATGTAGTGAGGGTTTAGCATAGACATGTGTTAGTGAATAGAGTTAAACAATTCTGAAAAATATTGTTTGGCATGTATACATTAATTTAAAAGCATCAAATTGGTATGTTTAATGCAAATATTACAGATTTGTACATAGCAACCAGATATAAGAAAACCAGACTCTGTGCAAATTTGGAATGTTTTTCATCTTTTTATGACGTCATGATATTTTTATTCATTCGCTCATATATTTAAAACCATAAGTTGCACATGAACAGTGTGGATTTTTTCTACTTTGACCTTGACTACTGATCAGTGTAACATACATTTTTAATCATTATATTATATATTTAGTACTTTTTATAGTCAAAAAGCTACAAGTGCCATTCCTAAGAAATACACTATTTCAATATGTTTCTCTCAACTCAGCTACAACTTAGTTCATATACTATTAGGGACAAAATATGTTTAAAGTAACTTTATTTATGCTTATTTCATAGTTCTTATTCCATTCATTCAAAAGAAACCCAATTTTATGAATTTTTTTCATTGTAAAACTAATGAAAATGTGATACAGGAAATGTTTGGAATATGCCAGTCAAACTATTTGCCACTAGCCAATATGCCACTTCTATGCGACATAAACAAAGAGCTGTAGTTTCACTTTTTATCGAGGCAATAGTTAAAATAAGACACCATTAAAATCGGTATAATGTACAGATTCAGAAAAGCTGAGAATTTTTTTAAATATCGCATTCAAGGTTTTGCTTAAGGGTGTTATAAACAGTTTCGTAAACAAAACTAGGGGTTTTTCCCCGCCTAAAAATAACCATGGAGGGAAATCCCCTTTTTTTTTACTTAATTGGTGAAAAAGTATCATATTTTTTGTATTTGATTGTAAAAATTAGTTAAATAGTTTTCAATTAAAACAGTTTTGAATGATTAAAATGATTTTAAAAATTATATTAAATATACATGTTTTGAGGGGGACAACACTGTAAACATCCTGTTTTTTTAACAGTGATAATTGAAAACTTATTTGCAGCCTCTGTAGCTCTTTTCGAAGCAGGAAACCGTACCCTGAAGCGATATTGTTTTAAAAGGCCAGGTAAACACCTATGAATTTCATACAGTTTTGATTATGTGAAATGTGTCTGTATCATTTCTACATGGATATGCACATCTTTATCATTATTAACCAATCCACCACTAAGGGTCACTAATGGATTGTCCCTCAAAATATGACGTCATAGAAAACAACTGTTGATTGCACCCATAGGACTTTTTGCAATAGGTTGTAAGCCTTATGACCTTGAAAAGTCCAATATGTAGTGACCTTGTGTAAACTGGAAGTAGCTTTGTTTTGGACTTAATTAATGTAAAAGTATACATAACCATATATTTTGGAATCAGTGTCGAGTTAACTATCAAATAATACCAGAAGACGGAAGTGACATTTTTCAACCGGAAGTAACAAATTATATCCCTTTTTTTTAACAAAAGTGTATAGAAACCATATATTTTTGAAATCAGCATACAATTAACTATCATTTGACACTGGAAATGGTATTTTAAACTGAATTTTAATATTTTTGTATCAATATATATCGTTTCGGGTGGAAAGACCCTCAATTGTTTTCTAAACAATTGTATTTTAATTTTTTTTTTTTTTTTCGCCGAATTTTGTTCTTGCTATTTCTGTTTCGCAATATGTCGCTTTGATATTTCTTATATTGTATCGTATAGTTTATGCAATTTTAAATTTCATTCATTCTAAGCTGAACAATTTTGAGCTATCTCCCTATTCACTGTTTATCTTGTGTGTGCATCTCCTTCGTAACAAACAAAAATATAGACAAAAGTCTTTTTGTAAATTGTTCCTTTCATCCTCAGAAATTTTTAACTAATTATGATCGAAGCGATTCGATGCAATTTTATAGCAGTAATCTAACTTTACCAAATAAATTTGTCGGTATGTCTTTTTAACTCATAAACCGTTAACCGTATAACCCTAAATCTTTTCATTTGAGGCCCCTATGTCCTAACTTTAAACATGAAGTCAAGGTAAAAGGTGAAGGTCAAGTTCTTAATTTTGAATTGTCTTTGTTTTTGCATTTTCTCCGACACTTTTAAACATATATAGAAAAGAACAAGTGCAAAATGTTTGCTTTATTGTAATGAAGATATGTTACATTTGGTCTGAAACCATCTAATGGCATCTTAAAGGAGTTAGTGCCCTTGAAATGTCTTTATATAAGGTTAATTGATTATTACTTCAACTTGGCTCATTATAAAGCCATATGACCTTTTACAAAAGGTTGGTCGACATATGACCCTAAAAAAATGACAATCGGAAGTGACCTTGAGAAAACTGGAAGTAGCCATTTTTGCACTTTTTTCAAAAACAAAAGTACTCGGAATTCCTATAGTTTGTGATTTAAATACATTAACTTATCAATAATGACTAGAAGTGACGTTCGATAAACCGGAAGTGGCCAATTATCTCCGGGTTTATAGGCAACAGTATATAGAAACTATATATATTTGGAATCAGTGTGAAAGAAGCTATCATATGAGACCGGTAGGGATATTTCCTTCACCAGAAGTAGCACTATATCTCCCTTGTGTCACTCAAAATTTATAGAAACCATTTATTTATTGAATCAGTATGAAGAAAATTAGGATTGGATGCCAATTTTAACTTTGAGTAAACCGGAACTAGCTTCTTTTCAATAACTTTGAAAATTGATGTAAAAAGACCTTCAATTGTTCTCTGAACAATTGGTTTTTAATTAGGTCTTTCCACTTTTCTGTGGAAACAATTTTTATGAGGACATCTCAGGCGTCCGTTTGGCTGTGCGGGATGTATTAATACGTATTCACGTTCGGTCAGAATATAGACGTTAATGTAGCTGTAAAGAGAAAGTGCCATACATGCAATCAATCAATCAACCAATCAATTGACCAACCAACAAACAAATCAACCAACCAATCAATCACTCATGCAGGTGTCTGGTCCATATTTTTAATAGAGAATGAGGGATCTGCTTTTGTTTTTTGCATGTTCCTGCAGTCTAGGTCCAATGTGTTTTTTGGCCAACCAACAAACCAACCAACCAACCAACCCATCCACCAATCAATCAATCAAGCAATTATGTTACGGAGGGGAAAGACCGCCGCTAACAATTGTTTACAAAACAATTGATTTATATTTATTCTTTTTTTTTTCTTCCGCCAAATTTTGTTCTTGCGTGAAATTTTTGTTTTTTAATATGTCGCTTAGATATTTGTTATATTGTATCGTACAGTGTATGCGCTTCTAACTTTAACCCTGCTAAGACGAACAATGTTCTTTGTGAGAATTATCTCCTCATTCACTGTTTATCTTGTGTGTGCATCTCCTTCGTAACAGAAAGAGATAACGGAAAAAATTTTCTGAATATTTCATTACATTCTCAGGAATGTTTGGCTAATTTGGATCGAAGCTATAAAGTGAGATCTTATGGGAATTATCTATCTTTACCAAATACATTTGTGTCTTTATGTTTCTATAACACGTAAACCTTAAGCCGTATAAGAAGAAATTGACCAAAATGTTAGTTGCGACATGATATAACTGGGGGAAAATGTTCGAAATGGTACGCGTCATTGATTTAGGGGTTCTATGCCACTGAAACGGTAAACTGAACAAAATTCACTAAATATAGCTTCAAACTTTGCAGCTATCATGATGTATACATGCATCTTATCTTAATTTATCAACCGAGTTCAATTATCCTCGGACCCCCCCCCCCCCCCCCCCCTAATTTGTTTTTTGGGAGGAATCCCATTTCGCCTTGAAGCTCAGTCCCGTACATTTTACTGTTAAAATGCAATCCCTCTTCTGTACAAACTTCTGAAATAAAAATCAACGGTCTACCCTGAAAAGAAATTATTATTCCGGACATCTATATTTGAGCGTCACGTGACTTCACAAACACCACCGCGCTCGCGGACCTTAAATTAGAATAAAACATTCCATATCCAAATATAGAAAATGAAACTTCCAAGACAACACTTTATTCAGTGTTTTCCTACAAGTTTAAACATGATGTTTTGTAGATTTGAAAAAGTCATTTGTCTCCGTTTAGAAACTACGCCTTCTATATACATTTGTAAATCACATTAGACTGATAATAAACTTTAAACTTTAACTATCAAAAGTGTTTGAGCGCACTGAAGTTTCAGTTAAATATAATATGTATAAAGAAAAGATATCTGATCTGTAATTATAGAAAGAGTTTAACACAAGACGACAGCTTTTTTAAATATCTCTATAAACATGATAAATGACATTCCAGAACATTTTGGCAAGGACTTTAAACCAGTCACGCTAATAAGATGTCTTTCAGTTGTCTTACGTTTGCCAAAAAAAAAAGCAAGCCATTCACTAAAGCAGAGTTTACAATAGAGTGGTGTTGATTAGAACAAAAAGCCAATTAATTATTTGAGGATTTTGATCAATTACACACCTTCAATTTGGGACCCCCAGAAAAGGCACACCGTCTTTGTCCAATCTACTAAAAATATAGAAAAAGGATTTATTTGATATGTTATTAGATACAACTTTAACATTAATCAATTTGATAAACACATGATCAACCACAATGATTCACAACATATATACATGAACATTTTGTCGTTGGTTATGGTCCATTACACTACATCATCATTTATCTTTGAAATGTTCAATCAGAATGTAATCAAAACGCAATCGGGATAACAAGGTATTTTCAAAAGTAATTGGTTAAATTAAATTATATTTAATAAGATTTTTTGCTGACTAAAAATAATTATTATTATGTAATATAATCGATTGCAGCTGATTATTGATTAAGATGACAATTACCCCGAGTCTGCTTAGGACAAGGATGTTTACAAGAAATTCAAAATACCTTTTTCAAAATAGATGATATGGATATCCTCGGTTTTCATTTATTAAAACGTGTTTGTCATTGAGGAAAGTAGCCGCACGCACTGCATGATATATACATATGTATATTGTGTCTTGTACTTTTATTTTCCCTTGTGGTGTATTATGTACTGTCTATTTTGTAAACTGCATGTGAAGTATGTTTGCATTAATCAAAGTTATCAAACGGCTGAGGGTGAATGTCATATCTTTGAAATCAAAAGTTAACAAGATACTTTCAGAACTGCTCCTTGTTTTTATACTTAATATATCATCTGCTTTAACAGTTGCTAATTTGCAATTTTTTTACTAAAAAAAAATTACACCGAAAAGAAGAAGAAATATCTATATCTAGGTACATGGACGCTGTTCCAAATCTTATCTTAACCTCTCGTGAGTTTTGGCACAGTGAATAAAATGTTTTATCAAGAAAACAGAACATTTATAGTCATTTAATAACAACAATTTCAATATTTATGTGTTCTTTTGCCTCTTGAAATTAGATTTTTGTTGAAAAAGAAAGTCTGTTAACCAACAACAATATTTAGATATACAGTTATTTTCTAATCCGAATGATGAGACATGACTCAGTTGAGCAAACTATGTCAAGCAGACTGAAATAAGAAAAAAAAACTTACCATAAGTCAAAAGGCAAAATATTGTGAAATCGTAATATGTAAAATGTATTTGAGTAAAAAATGAGTTGTTATCCGAGTACAGGGTTACAATTATTTTTATTTGTTAAATTTATGTAATAGTAAAAGCTCAATAATAAGTTTATATCGATATTAAAAGACCTCCGAACAAAAAGGGATGTTAAGATCACCGAACCCGAATGGCGAGGGGATTTGAACAGCCCTGTTTGTGAGGCGGTCTTTTAATGTCAATATTAACTTAATCATTGAACTGTTACTGACTTACAAACCGCCAAAAACATTAGAAAGGTACACTTAAAACACTTGCAGAAGCCTAATACCCTGAATTGATCTAGTCTCTCTATGGTCGGGTTGTCGTCTCTGTGACACATTCCCTATTTTCACTCTCAATTTTATCTCAATATATTCAACACAAATGATACTAGTTAAACAGTACTCAGACTCATATTGACAAATAACAGTTACCTAACTGCATTCAAAACGGACCGATTAAATGACATTACATCATTTAAATATTTATTTATTATTTTTTTTTAACATTTAGATAAGACCATAGGATAGTTTTATGAAATAAAGGGGTAAATTTATATTTTTAAACTCCAACTTTTTAATATAACGATTTTCTATTTTATAAATGAGGAAATCAAAACCCTATACAGACCTCATTTACAACTGACCAATGCATGTTCTGCACCAAAAATTCTTGTTATATATATTTGATGTTTTTAATATGTCAGTAATCATGAAATAGATTCGTAAAGACCAGACCAAATGAAAACTTATGTGGAGTGTTGTCTCAGTAGCAATCATACCTGGCTCGATCAAAACGTGTATAGATGGGATATTTTCGCAAAGTTGATCATCATTCTTAAATTGAAATACAATGTATTATATGAAAACAAACACTTTTATTTTAGTCGTCCGTCATTCCCTTTTCACTTATATTTCTAATTTCGGTTTGATACTTTTAGCATCACTTTAGTAACTGTGAAATGTTTGTGAAACTGTATTTTATTTATCTCTGTATATAGGTTTTTTGGTATTATATTCTGTACTATCGCTCTCCTGGTTTGTTTTGGTGTGTGTTCTCTTCCAAATCGGGGGGTCGTTGGTTAGAGCCTCGACGGGGTCTAACAATGACGTACAAATTGGTACATGTATTTGCTGTCTCAGTGCTAAACTAGCGGTATTTAACAGTAAAAACAGACTTGTCGGCTCGGAGCCAGAAATATTTCCGGGTATAAGGTGACTATTCTTCCTGCGAACTGATATCTTCATGTGAACTTACGCGTAAAAAAAACTGGCTTAGCGTGTCGATCTAGTACAAAGCAGGGTTAATACTCATATTATATTTACATATTATTGTCCTGAATATTTATTCATTATCATCACGTATTCTACTGTTATTCTATACATTGAAGTGTTTTTCTTCTACTGGTTTATATTACACCTTCTTTAATCTCCACCGATCGAATTTGTTTTTCAACCAAACACTTGTACCTTAGGATATCTTTAACAGTAAATAATATTAAATCAACTGTCCCTGTTGTAATAGATATTGTTAAATTAACTCCGTAATTTTTAGTCATGGGACAGTTTTGAACTTATTCTGTTGAACTTAGCCCCCCCCCCCCTCCCCCCCCCCCCAACCCCCCCAACCCCCAAATTCCTATCCCAAATCCTTTTTTTCTCTACGGTAGACAAATGCCAAAAACGAAATGATATGAATATACAATCATTAACAGCCACTGTAAGTAAATAAGATATGGACAATCCAATTGATTGCTGATTTTCCAAAATAAACGTCATGCTGCTAAGTATTAAGTATAAGTCTGTCGAATTTCAATACTTTTTGTCATTATTAATGGTTACAGTCGAAATATTCAGGCAAATAAAAGTAGATACATTTTTCTTAAAAAACATATATAAGCAAAAGATTAACCGTAAAAGCTACAACATGATTCCGGAAAATAGTACATGTAATAAACATCGATTTTTTTCAAATGGCATTGAAAAGTATTCGACTTGCGCCAACAGCACGAAGTAACTAGTTACAACATACATGTTTAATGTGAATTCGGAAACTATTTAGTAACAAAGGTTTGATTTCTATGCGTTAAATAGTTCTACTGCAAATAATGTATGCCTATGGCGCGTTGACATGTGTATGTCTGTAAGTGAACTTTTTTTCTTTATGAGGTGAATTTGAACATGGTTTTCTAATAAAGAATGTTTAATTTGAAGTTAAGTTCATTTACTATCCAATTTAATGAAGTTAAGAATATGACAAGGGAAAAATACAAAAGATGAACAAAAGATCATGCATGCATTATTCAAACCCTATCAGGATTTGTAGACACCGAATAAAGTTACTGGAAGCAAACTAAGGTGTCAATGAATTGTCCACATGTCAGTAATATGTGATAATAATAATTCTATTAAAAATTTAATTGGTACTTTAAAAACAAATCTGTCATCATGGTCATGATACAAGACAGATAGTTCGTTTAACGTTGTAATAAATAAAATCAACAGTAGTATACCGTTGTTAAATGAAAGCCAATATAAATGAGAACAAATATGCCTATATATATCCTAAAGTTAATATTATCATTTTCAATCGATGTTTCCCCTACTCGTCAGAATAAATGTTACATACCTAACGATGTCACCAGTATCGTATCTTGGAAAATAAATGAATCTGTTTTTGTAATTATAGTCCATGGCAAGCACAAAACTACTTCCCACCTCTACCAGTACCGTCACATTGCGTGTGTCAATATCATATTCCATAATTACAGTGTAGACTGAATACAAAAGTTTTCCTGAGTAAGCTGAAACAAAAAAAAATAGAATTATTATCCCAAAATGTCATAAAAATCTATACTAAAAAGGAAAAATATAACAAGCGTTGATTGATTTCGGCAATATTTTTGTTTTACAATCTATCCGTGCGATAAAAACATCAAGACTAATATCTTTTAGCAACAATTCAGTATTTTTGAATATACAGAAGATCTGGAGACACTTTGAATTGAATTCGACAAGGAATGTTATCATCTGTACACTAATATGGCTGTCATGTATCATTTTTATATTTTTATTATCAATTGCATACAATCTAACCTGAGTTATGAAATATTAAATGCCATCATATATATATTTCCATTTAAAGTACACATGCAGGCATTGTTAAGCAATGATATCATAACAAATTTGTTCAAGCTATTACAGATCTTCAATATAAATATAAATTACTTGTATTCTATGCTATTTATATAGACGATGTCATTAGCTGTTTGATGTTTCAACGGGGTTACCTGGTAATCAATATATTTTTCTATTTTTTGAAAGGCAAACCGGAAAATATGTGTTTTCTTATCAATTTACTATATTTGAACTGTTTTGTGCATATTGAGAACCAAAACATTTTATCATTTATTATAATTGAACTTAGTGTGGAATAGAACAGCCAAGATTTAAAGGTAAAACAGGTGTGATGCAATCGGATTTATCCAGTACGAAGTTAACTTTGTACCAGACTGTTTTCGAAGTTAGCTTTAGTAGCCTAAAGGTACATAACACATTTAAATGTTCCTATATTTGTATTGGGCTAACCACCACACTTGATGAACATGTTTTAATATGTTCATCTTGATAATTTACAAACTCATTATAGATACTTAGATCAAAATGTTCACAAAACACTCATCAGTGACGCATGAGTCAAAAAAGAAAGAAAAGCCAAATAAAGCACGAAGTAAGAGAGCATTCAGCGCCCAAAATGCCTAACGATTTTTTTCTACTAAAGCTATCGTATCCTTTTCCTGGAATGAAAAATCCATATCACTTCGAAAATAATCATGGTCTTGTAAACAGTTAATTAGTATTATGACCATAGCAATGATAATTCATTTCATCACTGAAGTGATGACTACTTAGCTGATGAAACCCTCGGCGAGTAAACTTCCACTTTCAGTGGCATTGGCCTAGTGGTTGTAAATAAATCAGTATTACAACATAGTTTCACATGATTTATTGATAAAAGACGGACTTGTAGTCCCGAGACAACTATATTGAACATAATTTTAACGGTTCACAATTTTTTCTTATTTTCTTAATTTAAGTTTATATACAACATGATAACCACTATGATAGTTGTGAGGTCGCCAGTTTTGCTGATGAAGAACACATATGCGTGATGTAGTGATTATTAAATACGAAATTTGTCTACTAAATGAATGGATAACCTTCTATTTTCAAGTGATAGTCCTATCGTTCACACATGCTGAAACGTTAAAAAATGACGAATTCAACAAGTTACATGTAACTGCACAACCTTTGGTCAAATTCCTTTATCCAGGGAGTAGAACTGAACGTAACACGATATGAACGCAACCAAAATGAACGAAACACGCAAACAGAATGCGCTAAAAACGTAACAAAAACAGAAATTAATTGGAGATGTTGAGTGGTTAAGCAGTCGTATACTTGTTTATTCTTAAAGACAAATCCAAACAAATATAACGCATAAAAAACAAGATCAAAACAACCGATACAAACTAATGACGCCATTTTATATCGTGATTTCGAATGTTGAGCTTTTTTTTACAAATCTTTTTGAAAGTAAAAGGTTATTCAATTCATTTTGTAGACAAATTTCGTATTTAATAATCATGTTCCTATATTTGTATTGGGCTAACCACCACACTTGATGAACATGTTTAAATATGTTCATCTTGATAATATTACAAACTCATTATAGATACTAAGATCGAAATGTTCACAACACAGTCATCAGTGACGCATGAATAAAAAAAGAAAGAAAAGTCAAATAAAGCACGAAGTAAGAGAGCATTCAGCGCCCAAAATTCCTAACGATTTTTTTCTACTAAAGCAATTGTATCCTTTTCCTGGAATGGAAAATCCATATCACTTCGAAAATAATCATGGTCTTGTAAACAGTTAACTAGTATTATTACCATAGCAATGATAACTCATTTCACCACTGAAGTGATGACTACTTAGCTGACGAAACCCTCGGCGAGTAAACTTCCACTTTCAGTGACATTGACCTAGTGGTTGTAAATAAATCATTATTAAAACTTAGTTTCACATGATTTATTGATAAAAGACGGCCTTATAGTCCCGATACAACTATATTGAACATAATTTTAACGGTTCACAAATTTTTCTTATTTTTTTCAAATAAGTTAATATACAACATGATAACCACTATGATAGTTGTGAGGTCGCCAGTTTTGCTGGTGAAGAACACAATTGCGTGATGTAGTGATTATTAAATACGAAATTTGTCTACAAAATGAATTGAATAACCTTTTGTTTCAAGTGATAATCCCATCGTTCACACATGCTGAAACGTTAAAAAAAGACGAATTCAACAAGTCATATGTAACTGCACAGCCTTTGGTCGAATTCGTTTATCCAGGGAGTAGAACAGAACTTAACACGTTATGAACGCAACCAAAATGAACGAAACACGCAAACAGAATGCGCTAAAAACGTAACAAAAACAGAAATAAATTGGAGATGTTGAGTGGTTAAGCAGTCGTATACTTGTTTATTTTTAAAGACAAATCCAAACAAATATAACGCATTAAAAACAAGATCAAAACAACCGATACAAACTAATGACGCCATTTTGTATCGTTAACTCAAATGTCAAGCTCTATTACGTAATATTAAAATTCATAACTTAGTGATGTCATTATCCTCATCGTCAATTCAGACATATATTTAATAACTTTTTTTGTAAATTCCATCATTTTTTTTGAAGACTTTCAAAATATATCCTCTAGTTGCAACATTCTCCAGCCTAATTACCCATACAAGTTGTTGTTATTGATTCAATATAAAGGATGTAACCCACATAAAAAAGAGAACAACTTTCATGACACATACAAAAGATTATGACACGTCACTTTAATCTGCATTTTATAAATTCGTATCTCAATGTTCCGCAGGTAAAAAGTACATTTACTTACCGCATAATACATTTAAAGGTTACCTTCAATATTCCGTAAATATAACATAACAATATGTGGTGTTATTGATAACGATCACTTATCAACCATATATCGTTGATTCTACAATTGTGTTTGTTTAAATTTCTATTTAGCTTTCAAAAACAATACAGTACACAATAATACTTACACGATGCTAGTGGTCTATAATGTAGTAAAATACACAAACAAAGCACAACTTTTACTTCCATTTCAATCAGAACTAGGATTGTATCAACATTTATTCGACTGAATATTTTAACGTGAATCTTCGGGTTTTAACACGAATGAAAAAGTGTGCTTATTCAAGCGTATCTATTTCGTGTGTGTATTGTACCGGCATATCACATATCACTGGGATATTCAATCCGTAAACAGTGTATGAAAGACCGAATTGACATTTACTCATGGCTATAAAAAGAGTTAATATGTGAAAACGAGGAAGAAATGTTGATCAATTTCTTTTTATTATTAAATGATTTTAAATATCTGAATTACCAAAATATAAATGTAGATACATAGGTCGTTCATACTTCATATTTGAGGTATCCTCTTTAACTTATTTTGATCAGCGTATTTTAAGCAAACAGCTACCATTTTAGTTGACTACCTCTTTTGATTGTTATATGCTTAATATAAAAAAAATATATATAACTGTTCATGCCGATTGTTCAGTCATTTCCTCCACCTTACAAAAATCTTGTCCAGTAGATTGTCGGAAAACACTCAAATTGTATCTTTATTTACAATATTTTTGGATAGATACAAAGAGTATATCCTTCGTTATAACTGCTTGAATATAAATATTCCTCTAGATTAAAATCTTATCTTTTTGAAGTCTTAACTTTTAGTTTTTCATCTGAACATGGACAAGGTAAAATGAATCTGATCTTTCAGTTGGTTATCAATGCAAGCTGAAAAAATATCTTTTGATGATTGAATTTTTTAAAAATGATTGAAAACAATTTAAAAGCAGTATAACAAAACTTATTACTCTTTTGTAGGATTATCTATTGTTCTTGATATACATGATCCATGGAAACAACTTTACAAAGTGCAGATATATTCTTGTCTGAGCTTCATTTTTATTTTTTGCATCAATGTTTGGTGGCTAAAATAAAGAAGAATAACCAAAACACTTGGTAATTTTTTTAAAGATTTTATCGTTTTCTCCTTTTTTTCGGTGTGGATGTGGGTTTTGGTAGTATAGAGGGATATGGAGGCACGGGGTTTAGGAATTATTTAAAAAACCGACTTATGACAATAAAGCACAGTTTCAATCTATTGAGTATGTAAACGATGATCAGTTATAACTGTATTTACAATCAATGCATGGAAGTATGTATATAAGAGTTAATAATATAATTAGTGATCATTGATAATAGTTTTATCACTCAAATTGAAGCGAAAGAAAAGGTGGAATAATAATGTTTTAAACGTAGATAATTTAAATTAATTTAAATTACTAGGAAATATATGAATGTTACAAGATTGTGTGCAGATTCTTGTTTAATACATGGACTTTGTAAGTTTATTTTTTTAGATAAAACAATAATGTTGTTAAAAACTATCACCATTTCACCATAGAGTCATCTAATGCAAAACCCAGTTGATTATGTTTTGCTTTTCAAAATGTGTACATGCATATATTCCCAATGAAAGCAAAATAAAACATGCAAATATTCTTAATGGACATGAATACACGACTTAATTGATAACAGCTTGTCCTAGCTGTTATTTAAATAGATAAAGACATTCGATTGAGGTAAAAAAAAACTAAGGCTCCATCTCCTTCAAATGTTAAATTTCGATGAATTTTGCTCATTTTAGATTCCATTTGGTCATATCACCTGCGTCTTATTTAGCCCCTGCCAATCAATTGTTAGTTTGAGTTCTTGAATATGATATTCCTTGGACACATGAATTATCTACAACTTGGTATATATCGTTGCGTCCGTGCATTTACCGTAAATACAGTTATAACTGATTATCGTTTGTAGATTTTGTAGACTGCAACTGTTCTTTATTGTTATAAGTAGATTTTTCAAATCAATCCTAGCAACAATTTTGTTTCCGGACCATCGTAAAAAGAGACGTAAGATTATGCTTATAACACGTGCGTCACCAAAATGGTTGTAAAGTACTAATATCCACTACAAATAAATCATTGATATCAAAGATAAAAGGATAATGTTAAAAGTCGGAGATGTTCTTGCTTTTGAACAGTTTTCATCATAACAACTGTTTTCTTTTCCAGACAAAGGTTAAAAATAAAACAAGGAGACGTAAAATGCCACAAATACGTGCCGTTGCACAGTTGTAAATAAATCCCGTAGGTGACATGTGACGCCATTTAACCATTTAATCATTTCGTAAAATAATACAGTCAACACCTTTATTAATTAGTCCATTGTTGCCTACAGCTATACAATGCAATCAACTGATTATTGATTTTATGTCAAAATCGAAACGAATTCATGGTGAATTCCGAATATAGTCTGATTAGGTGAAGTCCGATAAACTCGAAAAATGTAAACAAGATGGATGAAATCGAATCGTTTTATTTCTGTCTCCAAATTCTTTCGCCAATAATAAATTTTAATCGCGACCGTAAACCCTTTTTATAACATCAAATTAAAAGTATATCAGTACCTTTTTAAATCCATGCAAATCTATCTATAATTTAAGTACGTGAACGTTTTATATAAATTTCTTTAATATTTTATGCGATACAAAATGTATGTGTGTGATGAAAATGTTCTATCGCTGGTGCTTTTTTTCCGAAAGATATTTAAACAAAAAGCGGAGAAACAAACGACTTGATACTAATTCTTATCAACATTGCCACAAGGAACACACATATTAGGAATAGCATTACAATTGTCGTCTGCCATACAATTTCGGATAATGTGATTGTAGAAATTGACATGGGATTAACGTTGTTTTTTAGAGCTGATGTGATGCAACAGAAAAAAACTTGTATTTCAACATTTCTATGAAACAGCTATGGGTTATATCATGAGTAGTGTGACAGTGTGAGTGCTTGCTATCCTTTTTGAATTTACACTTAATTGGAAAACGAATTACACCTTGAAAATCAAACTATACAAATGTAAGTGCCTGTCTTTAAAATGATTCATCAAACATATACATCGTAACGATATAGACTGAGATACAAAACCAATAGTTACCATTACCTACCACTTTTCTAAAACGAAGTACCCTTATCGACCCAATGTGGACATATGTAAACATTTATTATAAAGTTAGTACACAATTAGTGGTAATGATTCATTTTCTAAAGAGTGGAACAACATAATCCTATGGTTTATATGAACAATCATATGTAACATACAATATCAGTTGACGCATCCAAAGTTTGATAAGAAATACATTTGAATCAAAACACTGTGCAACAATAAATTAACCACTAGCTAAGGCTAGAAATCTATATCAACTGAAATTTAAGAATGGATATTAGAATATAAAATTGTGTATAATATTTATAATGTTAAAGAAATATTTATTTTAACTTACATTCTACAGCTGAGAATTGGTAAAATATTAAGCATAAGCCAAACCAAATTCGTTCAGCCATGATTCTCTATATGCTGTGATACAACGAGGAAGATAACCATCAATGAGTTTTTTTTTCCAAAAAGAGACAATATTCAAAGATTACAAACATTATTATAGTCATTTAGCTACCAACAAAGGAATGTTTAATCAGTTTGTGTCAACAATTTGATTTAAATCCACAGCAGGGTTAACACTCTGATCAATAAGATTGAGTGTCACAGTTATATTTGAACTTGTGCTATGAATCATCTTCCGAATAAAAAAAAACTAGAGCTCTTAAGAGTCTGTGACGCTCACTTAGGTGTATGTTCATTTTCAACAATGGACAATCTTCAATATTGTAGCCTCTAAACATAAGAAGATGTGGTATTACTCATGATTAATATCTCTATTTTATTGCTGATATTTTGCCTGTTTATAGTTTCTCTCTCATCTAAGGGCAATAACTAATATAAGTAGACAACTGACAATTTTATCTATGATGACCTATTTGTAGATCTTGTCTAGCTGATCCCTTTTTTTTTATTTTGCTATGTAAACTTCTATTAATCTATTATAGTTGTTTTTAAAATAGGCAAACACCCCATAAATTGGTAATTATTTACATGAAGGGCACTAACTTCTATAAGAAGTTGATCAACGATTTCAGATATATTGACTTATTTGTAAATCTTGCTTTGTGAACCAATGTTGCTGTTTAAAATTTTTCTCTTTTATTAATGGTTCAAAAAAAGGCAATAACACACAAAATCCGTAGAAATTGTCATATAAGGGCAATAACTCATAAAAGGGGTCAACAGATGATTCCTACAATTTCACCTACTTGTAGATCTTGTCTTGCTGATTGTTATTTGCTAAACTTTATATCTATCTATTAAAGTTTGCAAAATAATAGGCAAACACGCAAAAACTGGGTAAAACATGACTATAGGGCAATTTTGCCATAAAAGGAATAGACTGACGATTTAGGCTGCTTCACTGTTTGTACATCTTGTCTTGCTGATCATTTTTACTATCGTAAGTTTCTTTAAATCTGTTATAGTTTTCAAGATCACAGGCAAAATTGAAACAAAGCTGGTAAAATTTGTCATTTGAAGGCAATAATTTCTAAGAGAAGTCGACCTACAGTTTATATGTCAATTTGCAGTAGGACGATCCCAACGTGTTTCAACATGTTCGCCCTAGTCAGATTTTCTCTATCTATAGCGGTTTTCAAGATAATAAACACACATTCAATTTACTCCTATGTTCTTATTTTAGCCATGTTGGCCATGTAGGTTGGCAAAAGCGGGGACATCTGACATTTTGTTTTTAAACTAGACAACCAATTTATGTTTTAAGTTTGGTTTAGTTTGGTTCATAGTTTCAGTGAAGAAGATTTTTGTAAAAGTTTACAGACGACTAAGGACGACCAAGGACGCCGCGTGATGGAGAAAGCTTACACTGTTTTTTGACTGACGAGTTTGATTGTCACTTTGGTATTTTTCACCTCTCTTTTTTCAAATTACATACACATTTTATTTTTTTTTTTTAAATGTCAAATCATGTTTTCTTTTGTATTGCCTCTTTGAACATTTTGAAAATTAAAAACTCAACTTTATATTCAGTCGAAAATAGCGCCAGGCAACTGCTTAAATCTCATCAAGAATATCAAGCTTATAATTTGGTACGCTAAACGCATGTTTCATCTACATCAGA